TTTCTAGAACATATTTAGAAACACTATCCTTTAAAAAATATATAAATTTTATGTATTAATTAAATTTCACATATGAATATAGGTTTTTGACATTTTCGACATTTTTGACAGTGAGGTTTTTGACGTGACGGTTTAAACCATGGTTTAAACTGTCAAAAACTGTCACATGTCAAAAACCTGCCAACCCTGTTCACATCAAAATTGATTTTCATTTTTTAGTGGTATGTTTCTTGAAATATTTTTCAGAGTGTAGTTATTTTGCATATTTTAAATTCCAAATGAACTTTTTTATTATCTTTAGCTCTACAGGGTTGATACTTGTTCAGAAAAGATAAAAGAAAAAAAAAACTGGTAGTTGAAACATTTTTGTACCTTTCTTTCTGAAGAAGTAAACCTACTAACTCTATTATTACCCATTAGCAGTTACAATATTTATATAGTTAATATAAATTATTTTCTTGTTAATAATTTGTGATAGGCACAGAGAATTTCTTTTTCCTGAAAAAAAGGTAGACGTTCTTATAACCATTTGTTTTCTTATTTTCTGGATAACATGGTGTCCACTCTCTCTGGAAGCAGGGTGAACCCGGAATTCTCATGGAATTTGAAACTACTTCTAGAAAACCTGGAATTCTCAGGGAAATACACTTTAAACTCTAAAATTATAACTGAAATATCAGCAACTAACAGTATTGTTGGCCATATTAAGTTAAAATAACTACACAGAGCATTTTAGACTATTATTGGGCTCATTAAGGTAACTAATTTTGTCTTTTAAAACTTATCCAGTTGTACTTTTATCTATATTTCTTTAAAAAATCTTTATTTCTTAAGACACAATTCTCAGTAAAACTCCCATCAAAGTCTGAGAGCAGATAGGTAACCATTTTAATCAACCTGCAAAAGTGTACAGTTTTGGTCCTTATTAAACTGCTCTATCGTAAAATGCTCAACTTCAATCACGGAGAGTCAAAGTGGAGAAGCCATCCTCTCAGTAGAGGATTAAAATTGCGATCACATTTCTTCAGATTTTTTTACCTTCAAAAATTACCCATTGGGCAGGTCTAGTGCGACATAAGCAAAGTATTACTACTGTTTATTTTTCTTTCCACCTGTGCTACTTGAATAAATAATTAATCTTTAAAAATTTCTATCGAATTATTTCATAATATTACGATATTAGGACAGTATTTATTACGGAAACCAATTTCGATATATCTGTAATAAAATTATCAAAGACTTGAATTGAAATCATAATTTTTATTATTTAATGTTATGAAAACTTTAGGTTTGAAACAATAAATAATATTAGTTTGAAAACTGACAGTGTTGATTTATCTTTTTTTTTTTCATTATTCTACATTACATCTACATTATTTCAACATAAATTTTTTAATACATATTTATGTTTGTAATTATTAAAATTGAAGGAAAATTTGCATTAATTTGAATGGCAACAACTAATACTCATAATGTGTAAAAATTTACTAATTTTACTCTAGAAATCTTGGGAAATTTTGTTTTATCTGGTGAGTGGCCACCCTGTAGCACGCCTGTCTTTATTATAATTTCATAATAGATTATTTAAAGTGTTTATTTAAACTATACAATACAATAATTATTAAAAAATTTATTTCTTTTTAAGTAAAAAAAAATTATTTTAGAAAAAGTTAACTTAAAAAAGATTATTTTAACTAATATAGAAATCAATTTTATTATTTAGGTAATAATTTTTGCTTTCTTTTATCCAGTTTATTGTAAAAATGTATAAGTCTGTCACCTTATCAAAAGAAATTGAAAATAAGTAATGAAACCTCAATATTTTAAACTAAAAGGAAGGTTAGGAAATCACTCATTATCCATTAATGAAATAAGAGAAGAAGATATTACATAATTTCTTTAACAGTAACTTTTTTTATGCAAGTAAACAATCTTTTAGGAACATTAAGCATGGAACGTTGAACTCACTTGATAAGTGATAATTTCTAAATGGAAAATAATTGTAATATTTCTTGAGATATATTGATACATAGTCATGATTCATTATATCATAACAAGCATCCTCAGCAGTGATTGCATCATTCTCTAACATTGAGTTGCATTGATATTTTTCTAACTTAGAGTTGAAAAGAGAGAGGGAAAACAATTTTTTTCATTTATGTCAGTCTCACAAAAAGGGTCTTTTTCATGTCCTCAGTGTACTTTTTTGCTTGTCTTCAGACTCAAGCATTTTTTTTATGGAAATTGATGTTTTTTTAACTACATTTCAACAAAATGAGATTAATATTTTTTAATTTATATTTATTTTATGGGACTAAAATATATCTTCAGATCATTTCCTAGCTTGTCATCACTGTTAAAGTACAAAAAAATCGTTTCAAGGAAAATAAATTTAGAGTTAGTATTTTTCATTTTGCAATATTGAAATATAGAATGCAGAAAATCAATTTAAATTCTATTTTGTTAAAAAAAATTATTGCTACTAGATTATATTAAAGTTGGTCGCCCTGATTCCTCACAACAATACATTAATCTTCCTAATTTACCACAGAATAAATTCTTTTATTAAAAACTTCATCATAGAACATGATTGTAGCAATTTTTCACCAGCAATAGAACAGATTAAAACAGATATCATTTTTTGCATGTATCATTGCCTCATGTATTTTTTTTTAAGTGAATTGAATAAAATTTAACCTTAAAAGTGAATCATTATTTTTTTCTTGTACGATTATATTTATGTTATTCTCTCACTAATGAATCAAAGGAGAAGGTGGTGCTGAAGTGAAGTAACAGGGATTGATTCTAAAGTGTTAACTGCTCCAAAGTTAAGCCTTTGTGCTTAAACAGGTAGTGTAGCGTTTTTAAAAAGTGCTTAAAGGTGCTTATTTTTGTTTTTTAAAAGTCTTTAAAGGTGCTTTTTTCACTGAGTGTTTTTAAAAAGTACTTAATTTTTGCTTTTTCAAAAGGGGATTTTTCCTTAACTATGTTGATTTTCGCTTCGAATTATGCAAAAAGACATAGTTCACATTGTTCTATTCAATGTTTTCAAAATTAATTCAACCCAATCTATTTTGGCGTATTGTCAGTCGTTAGCGTATTAAAACGCTATTCGTTATACGCGATTCAAAATTTCATGTTTTTTGACAATTGTCAAGAACAATGCCAAAAGGTTTTTTTTTTTTTTTGACATGACGTTTAAAACAAGATAAAACCGTCAATTGTCAAAAACTTTCCAACCCTGCCTAATTATGATATTTTTTTAAAATGCTTAAAAGGTGATCTCTGCTTTTTTTTAGTTTTAATGTAATAAAGTACAGCAATATTAGAAATTTTAATCCATTATATTTTTTATATTTCATATTTTTTAAAGTTTGCTTAAGAAGATTGTTTTTAGGCTAATGACCCTTGTATTGAAAACTAGAACCAAAGTTTAAATTAACAAGAGTTGTTGGAATTTTTTCAATACTTTTACTTATGGAAGTCTTTTCTTTAATGTAATCAATATTTAAAAATATAAATAAAAATTAGCTTAGTTTAATCATTTTTCGATTAAAGGCAAATGATAATATAGTTAAAAGAAGTTTAACTATGCTGTTGACTTCATTTTCTGCCTTTTTGCTATAACTAACTCTTGAATCTGAATTTTATAATTTTTTTTTCCTATTAATTCAAATATACATAAATTAGCATTCTGTCAAAATTCTTTGCATCTATAGTTTTTATAAGCAAATTATTGAAATATTGACAGCATTTATTGTGAAATTTTCAACTGTTCCGTGGAAAAGGTTTAATTTATTAATGGTATCAGAATTTCGTTTTGTGGTATATTTCTTTATACATATGAACTTCTGTATTTAATAAACTTAAAACAATTTATTAGTAAGAAAGTTTGAATCCAACAAACATATATAACTGGGCTGAGTTTTACTCAATGACTTAAAATAAACATAATATCATAAATAAAATAACATTTTGACAGTTTTTATTTATTTATTTCATTCCTAATTTGTTAATAATATTATAATAATATTTTCATAATTTGATGTGAATAAAAACACGAACGAAAAGATTATTAAAATGTTTATATTCCTGTTACATTAGGACAGTGAAACGTTTTACGAGACTAAATTTTCCTTTATGTATATATAGGTTGCTACTTTAAAGACTGAAATTAAAACAGAACTATGTGTTTATATTATTGGTGGTACTAATTGTATTAGTAAGAATGCTGAAGCTTTTTGTATGTAAGTATTTTTGAACAATTTATCTTTTAGTTTAGACTGATTTTTTTTAAAATTAATATTATGTTTTTGTTCAAAAAATCTCTTTTTTTTATATCTGTACATTTGTTTAAAAAGTTACAAACTGAAGCTTAATTTCAGAGTTGGTCATCTGTAACAATAATTCAAGTAAAGCCGCTTGCCTAACAAATATTTTAAAACGTCTTCCATATTACGAATACTTAATTACAAATTATTTTTAAAGGTTTTTGTTTGCTTTATGATTTTAAATTAAACAATAGGAACAATTTCAATATTTAAAATAATAGAATGCCTTATTTTTTAAATATTCTAATGCATTGTTTCTTCGTTACCTGCTTTTCAATTGAAGTTCTTAGTGGAAGGAATCGCTAAATGTTATTTATCTATATTTCAGAACATCAGTATATCATGAACATAGATGTGTTTACTAAATTTATTTCCCTGTTTATAATCACTTTAATCAATAAAATCACACGCTTTAGTAGAAAATTAATATTCTTCTCCAACAGATAGCCATAACATGTTTTAAAACTCAAAATTGTTTTTTAAACTGTTTCTTTGTATCTTCTTTTCTTGTGGCTCTTAAATTGCAAACTGTTCAAAAGCTAATTTCAAAGTTTACTATTTAAATTAAATTTTCAAAATAAAACAATTACAGCATTAACAATACTTGTATCATCTAGTATAGCGTACTATTTAAACACAATTTTAGTGGAATTTTCTACTATTTTAATCCAATAAATATGAGAAAAATATTTTTTAATATAAAATATAATTATTACAATTTTTTAAGTCACATCACACACAAACTCACAGCTATGTGCTTTGAAAAAAACAAGCTTCCCATCATCAGATGTTAACATGCATTGTGTTGTAAAAACTGATAAGATCAGGCTTGTTTCTTTCTGATATATGTATCATGTATTTGAAAACAATGACAAAAATGTATTACTCTATTTTGTTTTGTCTTCTACAAAAGTCCTTGTTTTGCTGATATGTTGATTTGTTGTCTTTCATAATAAAACCATATCATGGCATTTCATGTTCATTTAATTTTTTTCAATCAGTAATTTAGGATCAGAATTAGCTAAACTTAAAAAGCTAACATTAGTTACTGAAGGTTTCTTTGGCGCTGGTGAAATAGTTGGCAAAAACTTTTGCGAAGAAAAGGAAATTTTAGCCAAAGGAAAACCAAAATGTATATGTTATCATATACTTCCACATAGGGATTGTAATGTAAGTGCATTTTAAATGCTTCTTTATAAATATTTATGTAAAATATTCTAAAATATAAATGCAACTAAATGATATAAAACATCTCTTAATGATAAAAACTTATAACCCTTGAATGCTTGTTTAGTCATGTTCCTGACAGTTGTTGACCTCAAAGCTTTGCCATCTAAAAATTTTATTTCCCTCTTAACCCAAATATACTTCAATTGCAAGTATCCGATACCTTTAGCCTAGAAACAAGTGTATAAGTGTTCAATGCATCTTTACTAGGCTAATTGTTTTAGAGTTTTAACTTTAGGAATTATTGTAGGAAAAAGCAATTTGGTACATAGTTCTACAATTTTAAAATTGAGAATTGAGGAACCATTCTCTTAAACTTGCTATTTTTAGTAAATATATAGTAATTAAGAATGATAATGAATGAGGATATTAATGTGTAAATTTTTATTTTCATAAAAACTGTTTTGGTGTTAGAAAACACTGATTTTCAATTTTACTAAAAAACTTTTTTTTTAACAAAAAAACATGCTTTTTTTTTCTTCAAAAATATTAATTTTTTATAAATTTCACTACAAAGTTTTCAATATTAAAGACTTATACAAAATCATGCATCACATTATGTATTAATCAAATGTAATGTGTATGTATATAGTAATGTATTATGTCATATCATATTATTGTAACCCATCGCATATTATAATTATGTTAATCATGTATTTTTCACAAAGTCACGTATGTGCGTGAATCGCACGCAAGGAGAATTCTCTCTTGAAATACTTATTAACTAACCCGATCTTTACAAAAAGCTCAAAAAAAGTTTGAATCTGCTTTTGAAAGGTCGAAATTAAGAATTTTCCTTCAGTGCTCATATCTTCCATAGTTATACGGCAATGGCTTATCAAATTCAAAAATAGGATAGGGATATTGATTAAAAAAATAGGCACAAATATGATTGTGACATCAATAATTGCGAGAAAAATAGGCAGTAAAAGTTTTGGAGAGGGAAAAGTTCTGGAGCATTATCTGCACTGGCCCATAATTGGCATAGTTAATTTTAACAACTTTTTAGGAGGTATATTTTATAATATTGACAACTATTTAAATTTTTTCGCATCTAACATTGTTATTTTTTCTTAAGCGTCATTTGCGATAATCTTTTATTTTTGTTAAGGTAGAGCACTTAGTTATCCAAAATTTACCCATTTCTTAGCATTCTCGATAATCTGAGAATAATCTCGATAATCTGATCTCGATAATCTGAAGATAATCTCGATAATCTGAAATTTTACTTAATACAATTAGGGGAAGTTTCAAAACATTGCTAAAATTGAAATTATTAGCCAAATGTTAAAATTTTTCTTTTTAATATTACATTTCAACCAAAATATTTTTATACATATATTTAATTATATAAATTGAAACATTGATTTTTTTTTTTTTTTTGAACATCTGAGACCTTTTTGTTTTTAAGTATAATTTTGTTGCAAATTTTTTGTTTGGTCATTATTAAATATTGCAATATCTTTTCAAACTTAATAATACGTTAATTTAAATTAGTTTTCTTTATAATTATTGGCAAATGTGCTAAAAATACTAATGACTAATTTGTATATATTATTCAAGTTATCAGATATATATCATGACCTTCTAGTTTACCTAGACTTTCTTTCATGTTTTATTGACAATGAATTTTATGCTTTTAACCAATTACAACGACTCCTTTTATCATAGATATTTACTTAAATATGTGTAGTTATATTATAAAATTTTATGCATTTATTTATCAACATGCTTAGATTTTCCATTTTATATGTCTTTTTTATTGAATATATAAAATTAGGTTTCAAAAAGAGCAAGACAAAGCGAGGATGGTTCCTTTGAAAAGATACCTTATGGACGTACTCTATTTTATGGCAATTCAATTGCTGAGAGAGATGACATTGTATCATCAACTTTTAAAACCTGTATTCTTATTGAAGGTAAATTTTGCCCACAATATTTTCACTTTTTATTAAAGAGTTTTTATTTTAAGTGAAACATTGATATTTTTTTAAAAGATATGTTTTGTGCCTTGATTTTTAAAATTCATATAATTCGTTATAGTTTTTGCTCACATGTTCTCTTTTATGTCCTAACAGTTTTCTAAATTGTTGATTCAGTACTTAATAAGTTCTGTTATTGTTGCAGTATTTTTTAACGATTTTTTATTCATTTATTTTTTATTCAATTTCGAAACAACAGACATGCGTTGCTATCATTAATTTTTCATGTTATTTCCTATCTAATTTTTTCAAAATTTTTTACCTCTAGCTTGTAGTAATTTTAATTGATTGTTACTAAACATCTTTCTTTAATGAACATTGCATCCCAGTCGTTGGAGAACTTTTTCTAAGCATCTATACACTCTTGAATAAGATTGGACCATTTATTTAAACTGCAGATAGCCTTTATCTTTCATGGGTGGTCTGTGTGAATCACATGAATTGTGCTCCAGCATTCACAATGGATGGCAATTCCTGATTTTGTCAGCTTTTATTTTATGCATTGCTGTGAAATTACTTAGGCGTGTGACTAATATTTGCTTTCCGATTTCATTTTTTTCTTTTTTAAGTTCTAAACACTGGTTTAAACAGTTCTAAATACTGGTTTTAGTTAATGATAATTGCAAGCAAAAATTCATTACATTTGAGTATAAAATTAAAATTATTGGGGATAGTAAAGAAAAAAGTGTGCAAAAGTTAGCACTTCACAATATGAATGCAGAAAAACGTAAATAAACATTTAAAATAAAAATAATAAAAATTATTATTGGAACAGTTTTTTTTATTAAATAAATTGTTTATGAGTTTTTGAAGAATCAATTCATTGATAACTCCAATTAACAGCCACTTCTAACTGCCTGTCACATAGGCATAGTCTTGGAAAGAGCCATTGCTCAGATATTTTGTAGATAATAAAAAAGAAAGAGAAAAAAAAAATTCTCTTATATATGAGTGGAATAAAATACATATATGTTATATGAAGTGATTTATTTTTTATCTGCATTAAAATACCCTTTGAGCTATTTTTAAATAATTAAGCCTTAAAAAATAGTTTTTTAATAATGAATGTGAAGACCACATTGGAAAAATGGTTTATGTCCGTAAAACTAGTTTGGAGAAAAAATTATTTTGCTCAGAAGGGAAAGCTTTTTTGACGGTTCTGCCCATTTTCATTGTGTCATTCAGAGAGAACTGATTTTTTACATTATTGATTTATCAAAGCTTAGTAATCCTCAAAATGTAACAAATAGCAATCCAATTATCATTTTTGCAAAAAATGAACTTAAGCCATTCTCCCTCCTTGGTCTTCATATGAGTTAAATGCTGTTTTTAGCTAAAAGAATTTTTTTCTAAATTTTAGGTGGTGAAAGAAGTGCTTCTCTTGCTGAAAAATTCTTGTGGAATGATTGCACAGTTATACCTATCATTTTTAATAATAGATCAATTTCGTCTAAAATGTGTTTGTTAGCAAGCATTAAAAAGGTATATATAATTTATTGTAATGTAATTTATTGCTTCTTTTATTTAATTGATCAATAATTGAGAAGCTGTATATAAAAGTGTTTCATAATACCATTTTTGAAAAATGAAAACATTCAGATGAAACAGAATGTTATTGTTTACTTTTATTTATTCATTAATCATAATTCACAATTTGCAAATTTCACAATTTAAGCTCCCATACTTGCTTTAACCACCCTTCCTGTGCTTTGCCCATATCTCTGATTTTGACTCAAGGAGGGAATTCCCTCTTACAGACAAAAGGACAGTAAGAAAGAATAGTAAAAATGTCAGAATAGCTTCAAGTAGCTATTAAACAAGTCTCTCTTTAAAAAAAAGAAAAGATGTCAGAAAAAGTTTGTGCAAGCTTTATAGAGAAAAAAGAATGATGTTCTGTTAGGAAAACGTATAAAGCAGGATTTTGCTTAAAAAGTATATCGTAAGATCCGTGATAATTTAGCGTTATTGGTATAAGCAATTTTCTCAAACCAGCCGAAACTGACGCAAGAAGCAAGATAACATACAAAACAGACAACCTAAAACCGGGATTCCACTGTATAAATTTATTGTGCCCTTTGAAAAAAATTGCAATTGGGAATATGGTATATCCAAGTGTATAAGTGTGAGATAGTAAATTTCTGGATTGCTAAGTGTATGAGTTGACCCGTGAAAAAAATATTTAAAAAAACTTCTAAAATTAAAAAGCATAAAATTATTTAGTCTACCAAGTTAAAAATCACATTTTCTCAAATTAAAAATGTTTCACATCTGGTTATGATACATTTTTTAACAATTAAATATGCAATAACAAATTTTGTGAGGTAATCAGTAAATGTGAATTTATTACAGAGTTATTCATATCTATCTCATTATTTATAATAATGCATTGGTATTTCTCATTAAACGAATGTCCAGTTTTATTACTGGTGTATAAGTCAAACCTCAGATTTTCGTAAAATTTTTGGTTGGGTTGAGAAATCAACTTATTCACTGGGATAGCTACGCTACATCATTTTAAACCTTGTGAATGCAGTGAGGACTTCTTGCCACTTTCTGTATTATAGTGCAAGATTCTTTTACGATTATCAAAAATGTATACTGTAAAATAATCTAGATTTCACTAGCTTTTAAACGATTAATCACGACCATATTATAACTTAACATTAAATAATTTCATAATATATTTCATTTCTATTTGTAATCTATTCATGGGTTAGCTAACGTTTGCTTCTATCAATTGTGAAAGTCCCACAGTGAACTGATCCGATTCCAGTAGACCATGATGTCAAGCATCACTTGCTGTCGTCAATGAGAAGGTGAATGATCATTTAGTAAAGGGACCGAGTGTGCAATATTGGTTCTCATTAAACTGTTCTACCATATAGTGCTTTAATTCACGTGCAGGTTTTTGGGTTACCAAAAAGGAGGAGCCATCCCCTTTTCAGCGGTTCAAAATTATATAATGGCTTGTCCTTGGATCAGCCTCAAAGATGTTCCTCAGACCATTGCCAATAGCCCATTGTGCCGCTTTAGTGTTAGGTAAATGAATATCTAATATCAAGTGTAAACTCAGCATTTTGTTTATGAATAAAAACATACATTTTAATAGCATTCTCATTTTTTTGAGTTAATTTTTGTAAGTCTTTAAGTGCATATTTTGTCAATTATTTACCACAGATTATATACTTTTTCACACAGAAAATACTGTTTTGGTTCTGTTAGGATTGTATGGTGAAGTTGTAAAAATAAGAACTTCATTACCTTCAGTAGCATAGAGTCTTAGCAATCTTAAATATCCTATTGGCTGAAATCAATCCTGTAAAAAAGCTATGAAACCATTATAAAAATTAAAAAATATCATTTTGAACAATAAACAATTATGCTGTCTGCGTAATTGATGACTGTTTTGCCATCTTCCTACACTGTCTAGTTAATTTTCTCCTTATATGTGATTATAAGACAATTTCATTGATGTATTTTGGTGGCATTTTCTTTCCTTATACTTATTTTCAAAAATTAGTTAAAGTAGTGTTTAATTCTAATTTCCTATAGTAAGATTTCTTTATGAAAATTTTTAATTTCATCTCTCCTCAGAAATAATTTTTCAATATTATGTAATCTGTATGTATTGTTTAGTATTGTCATGAAATTAAATCCTGCCTTGTTTTATTTAAGCTATGAAATGTTATAAAAGGATTTTTTTTTTTTAGATGGATAATTTCAAAATTCTTATAAATTATTAATACCTAAAAATGTGTTCTTAGAAAAAAGCTCTTACAATTATATTTACGTAATGCAACTATTTTATTTATTAAATATTTCAATTACCTAGTTTCTTTTTCATGCTCTGAAAATACAGTGAATTTCAGATTTGAAACTATAAAAAGTAAAATGGAAGCTACATTAGCAACCAAATGTTCTGTTTCTGCTGTTGTTATTAAAATGGAAAAATATGAATACTTTATACTAATATATGTCCAAAAAAAATTTCTAGTTTGCATTTTTCCTCCCTATATAGGGTACTAATGAGTAGTTGTCACATTTTAAAATATTGTTCTACTAGGGAAGAATTAGGGTAAAATCTAAATTTATATAGACGGTTCATAGTATATGTGTATACATATATTTTAAATAAATTTTCTATTTCTTTTCAGCCGCCACTAGGAGTTAGTAAGCAAGATTGGTGCAAGTTGGAGCAATTTAACAGTGTTGAAGAGCTTGCAAAAACTGTTAAAAAAATTGTTTTTGATCTTTTTAAAGCAAGATTTAAAATTTTAGATTGATATGTTATTTAAACAAAGTATGTTATTACTGCATCATCTTTAAATACCATGTGTCACAAATTCATATTCCTGAAGTACAAATCAAAATTTATATATTTTTTCTATGTTTCTTTTGAAATTGTTGATGTTGATTTTTTGTTACTCGCTTTCATCTATACAAGTGCATTAAAAGATTTACTTTTTAGCTATAACTTTACTAGTTTAATTCATTTCGTCAGATTTTACACCTTAACAAGCCAATAGAAAAAAATTATTTCTAAATAAAGATACAAAGTGAAAACACAAGCATACTTACTAAAAATAGCTAGTCAACGAATTCATATGCAACATGCAACTACAAAATTTGGGTGTAGTTTTAGAAAATGGCCATGCACTTCATGAGGAAATGCAGTGCCAACTTAAAAAATCAGTTTAGTATTGACATCCTTATCCTTTCCATAATAGTACTTTTTATTAAATATTATGTTTCCACATGCGTGAATCATTAAGCAATCGTAACCAACAACTTCTAATTCGAACTTCAAAAGCTAAATTTGAGTTAGCAAATGTAACATTATAATAAAAATCTAGAAAAGAACATTCATGTTAGTTAAACTTATTAGTAGTCTCCAAAACCACCCAATTATATTTTAGCAGCTATAATTTAGAACTTTGGTCAATCCTTTGACAAAGCTCCATACCTAAAAGGCCTTAACTTGGAGTAGGCATCATAATCATTGAGTATGAATGAAAGAAAAATTTCTTCTTGTTTTGTGTGAACTTTTTGTTAGTTTACTTTAGATTTATCAATATTTTATGTTACATTTTTAATTATTTTCTGTGTTACAAACCCACTTGAATAACTTCAACAACCTTTCCATCTCACTTAATTAATTTTGGTTCATTAACAAAAAAAAATTAAGGCACTAATAAATTTACCAAACAGCGAGTTAGAATTTAAACTTCGTAAGATGACAAAGAAAATAATCTCTCATTTTTTGCAATTTAACAAGCCTTGGACTAAAAATTAATGATGCTAGAAAACTTCAATATTTCTTCCGTGACCTTGAAGATCTTTAGATCAAGAGGGGGCAGAGAAGGAACAATTGTTTTTAAACACGCAAGAAAGTGTGTTTAAAAGAATCATTGTTTTTCTGACAAGCTTCCGTCAATCAAACTAAGGAGTGACATGCTGATTTTGTTTTCTTTTTGATTTATCAGGGGGTGAGGGTAATGCATTGCGCACGGATATCAGTGAACAGAAGCTGAAAGAGAAATAAAAAGAACAATACATCCCTATACTTTACCAAGAAAAAGTTAAAAAAAAGTGGAATGGAGATAAGAAAATGATTGAAATACGGCTATTTTTTATTCAATAATAAATGAGAAATATAGTTGAGCTAAATTTAATCATTTAAAAAAATAATCAGAAGAAATTTGTGAATTATTAACATTGCTATTTTAATACAATATTATTATTGGCTATGCTGAAATGGAAATAAGAAAATGATTGAAATGCGGCTATTTTTTATTCAATAATAAATGTGAAATATAGTTAAGCTAAATTTAATCATTTAAAAAATAATCAGAAGAAATTTGTGAATTATTAACATTGCTATATTAATACAATATTATTATTGGCTATGCTAATGGGGGAAAAGATACAAAAACCTTCAAGCTTTTTCAGACTACTATAAAAATTCATAACTCGTTGAAATAAAATGAATAAATTTTTCTTATTGGTACAAATTAAATAATTTCAAACATAGTTATTAAAAATATCTGTTAGAATCCAAATTTGAGTAGTTAGATTTTTATAACATATTATTTAAAGAAGTGAATTAAAAAAGAAAAAAATTGGTAGCATTTATTTAAAAATGCTATAAAATTTTACTAGACTCCTTATAAAAGCGTGACATTTTAAAAAATAAAAACCAAATAAAATAATAAGTATGAAAATCTTTCTAAGCTTGGTTCCTGCTTAATTTAGAATCTGGGATGAAAATTCTAAAATTGATAAGATATTGTCTGAGACTAGAATGACAGATTCGTTAGCCCCGGGAACTGTCAGAAAAAACGAGATTTGAGACGAAAAAAAAGTCTGAATTTTCAGGGGAAAACGCAATTTTATCTTAAACCTGGGAATTGTCTGAGAATTTGACACTCGATCAAATTGTTGGATTTCACTCTTCCGTTTTTCGTAATTTATGCTTGCCCAATAGGGGATTAAAAAATAATCCAATTTTTTTTATGAGCCAACCATTATTAGATGCATCTTCAAGATTCTACTATTGTTCTTAATTGTTTCTGAGTGTTGTCAATTGGATGTCCGAATTATGGAACTTGAAAGAAACTTCTGCCTTAAGAGTATTGACATATTAGATTTTTTTTTAAATCCATTTTAGTTGCTAAATTTTTGTTATCCTTGATTTATTGTGATGAATTGTTTTATGATTTCGGATAATTCAATATTATTATTGCAAACAGAATATAGATTATATAGATTATGCTATAGATTATTTATTGCAAACAAAACGTTTTTTAATCGCCTGTTATATTTATCTATTTGACATTGATTAACAAAACAATATTTTTCAATTGAATAAATTCCGATTCTTTAGAAGTGCGGTATCATTTGTAAGTTTCTCTTGATGTGGAATCACATCTGCTTTCGTTAAAAATCGTCTGCTTTTATTAAGGAAATAAAAGAAGATTGTTTTTTTGTCTAATCATACAATTAATAATTACTATAAGACGATTATTTTATGTAGCAGATTGCAGCTTTCTTTTTTTTAAAAAAATGATACATTTCTGATTCTGCTAAGGGTGGCCACCCACCTTGAAAACCTGGAATTTTAGGGGAATTTTTTGTACTGGAAAAAATCAGGGAAATTTTGATAAAAACATGGAAAAATCAGGAATTTTTAAAGAAAAGCTGGGAATTTAACTCTATTGTACTCCCATCCAAAAAAATTTGTGAATCATTTTTTCTCAGCAGAGCCAACCAATCACACATTTTCTTAGAATCGCTAACAGCAATGTTTGTTGACAAATTGTTTCATTAATGCTAATTTTCCCGATTTCATTTTAACCTTTCATAACCTATTTTAATTTTAAGAAAAAGTTTTTTTCAGAACTAATTATATATTAATATTTAATTTTACTGTTTTGTTGTTAAATATTTGAATTTTGATTCAAAATTCGAATTATATGGTAATGAAATTCACAAGATCGAAAGTTCAAAAATGTTGCTTGCATTTCCCGGATATTTCTAAAACTATTTCCCCTTTTACACTAAAAAGCTAACTAAGATTAAGGAATGTATAGGAAACATATTAAATGATGTATAAACATAAAATATAATTTTTCTTCATTCATATGTGTTTATTAGGAAGAAGGAAAACGAAACTTAGTTTTTTTGTTCGGCACTGAACGGGTGCAAGTTTCTAGTTGTAAAAACAAAATTAATTAGCTGTGCTAAATTTAAAAAAAACATGTGTTTAGATTAGAATTCTTTAAATATTTTAATTTCAAATGAGAAAAAACCATAAAGTTTAAAGAATTTTATCTATTTTTGCATTAAGTATGCAACAAGAAATTAGACAATTTGTGACATTCATTTTTGTATACTGAATCTCTTAAAATAATATTTTGTTAAAAACAATATTACGATTTAAAAATTTGACTTGAGATATTAGTTTAAGGAAAATATGATCAATGAATTTTATAAAAAGCACTGTTTACATAAAACACAGTATAAAATGCCCTTATATTGAAATGTAAATACAGTGACTCACAAAAGTGTTCGTACACTTATGACTTTCAATGAAATCCCTTAATTAAAATGAATATTTCAGAATGGATATTAAATAATAGAAAATGTATTCTATTCTTAGCTAAATTGTATGGAATATTTTAAAAACAACACAAAGTTTTTTTTTATAAGAAATTAATCATCTAAAAGTAACAAAAACTTTATTTCACAAAAGTCATCATGTACTTTCCAAAGATTTTTCCTCCTGCAGTAAATATTCTAATTTTTTGTTAAAATAACATTCAGTAGAGTTTCTTTTCGCATCTACAATAGCTTTTAAAAGTCTGTAAATAAATGTAACTAGTTTTTTTTTTTTTGTCATTTTAAAATTTGAGAGAAATATTTTTTTTTTTAATTAAATTATACACAAATTTTTACAACACTCAGTTGTGAATTTATGAATTTTTCCACAAATTTTATAATTTTAATCTCTGATATGAAGTCGTTCTTTTAAGCATTTTATCTCATAATACACTGTGGAATAAGACACAAACTAATTTAGCAATATTCATTGCTGATTTACCTGGTATGATGACAAATAATCAACTTTCGAATGTTGTCTATTGTTTTATTATGACTACAAGCCGTTTTTAAATGTTCAAAGAAAATATTATGGAGTTAGCTAGTAAAAATTAAAAATATAATTTTGCTATCATAAGTTTCATACTAAATTGCAAATAAATAAACAATTAAATGAAAAAAAATTGAATAAAAAAATTAAAGCAATAGACGATAATTTTAATTCGAAATTCCGAAAAATGTAAGTGTACGATGATTTTTGTGGGGGGAATTTTTTGTTACTTTTTTATTGATTTCTCGAAAATAAACTTTTGCTTTGTTTTTAAATATTCAATGCAGTTTTACTAAGAATAGATTATACATCTTATTATTAAATACCCATTCAGAAGTATTCATTTTAATCAATGAATAGTACCCTATTTCAACATAAGTTATAAGTGAGCGAACACTTTTGGGAGCCATTATGAATAAAAATTTCTTGATGTATAATCATCTGGAATGGTTTTCTTCTGCTTACTGAAGATATATATTAAGCAATAGTTATTTAAGGATTTTTTGGTCATTCTGTACTTGCCATTTGGTTGGTACACTTTAAGCAGAAACTACTTTAAGTAACACATTAAAATTATTTTATTCAATAAAAACAATATAATAACCAGCTAAACATACTGTTTTCTCCACCTATCTTAATTTTTTTTTAATTAATGTTTCAAAACATTAAAAAACAAAATCTTGCCAAATTGTTTAAATATATTTAGTCTAATTATTTTTTCACGATGATATATAAAAAAAGTAACTTTTAAATAAAAAAAACTTCATACTATTGACACTTTTCTTCTACCCATCCTGAGAAAAAAAACACTCTGACCTGGAAATTTT